TTGGTAAATGGATTGGTAGATAGATGGATGGATTGTATGGATGGATGGATTGGATGGATGGATGAATTAGATGGATGGATGGTGGATGGATGGATTGGTGGATGGATGGATGGATGATGGATGGTTAGATGGATGGATGGGTGGATGGATGGATTGGATGGATGGATTGTGGGATGGATGATGGATGGTGGATGGATGGATTGGATGGATGGATGGATGGATGATTAGATGGATGGATGGATGGATTGGTAGATGGATGAATGGATTGTATGGATGGTTAGATGGATGTATTGGTGGATGGATGGATGGATGGATGGTTAGGTGGATGGATTGGTGGATGGATGGATGGATGATTTGATGGATGTATTGGTGGATTGGATGGATGGTGGATGGGTGGATGATGGATGGTTGGGTGGATGGATTGGTGGATGGATGGATGGATGGATGGATGGATGGATGATTTGATGGATGGATGGGTGGATGGATGGATGGATGGTTAGGTGGATGGGTGGATGGATGGATGGATGGGTGGTGGGGATGGATGGGTGGATGGATGGATGGATGGATGGATGGATGGATGGATTGATGGATGGATGGTTAGGTGGATGGATGGATGGTTAGGTGGATGGATTGGTGGATGGGTGGATGGATGGATGGATGGATGGATGGATGGGTGGATGGATGGATGGGATGGATGGGATGGGTGGATGGATGGATGGATGGATGGATGGATGGATGGATGGTTAGGTGGATGGATGGATGGTTAGGTGGATGGATGGTGGATGGGTGGATGGTGGATGGATGGATGGATGGGTGGATGGATGGATGGGTGGATGGATGATGGATGGATGGATGGATGGATGGTTAGGTGGATGGATGGATGGTTAGGTTGGATGGATTGGTGGATGGGTGGATGGATGGTGGATGGATGGATGGATGGATGGATGGATGGATGGATGGTTAGGTGGATGGATTGGTGGATGGATGGATGGATGGATTTGATGGATGGTGGATGGATGGATGGATGGTTAGGTGGATGGATGGATGGTTAGGTGGATGGATTGGTGGATGGATGGATGGATGGGATGGATGGATGGTTAGGTGGATGGATTGGTGGATGGATGGATGGATGGATGATTTGATGGATGGGTGGATGGATGGATGGATGGTTAGGTGGATGGATGGATGGTTAGGTGGATGGATTGGTGGATGGATGGATGGATGGATGGATGGATGGATGGATTTGATGGATGGATGGGTGGATGGATGGATGGATGATTTTGATGGATGGGTTGGATGGATGGATGGATGGATGGTTAGGTGGATGGATTGGTGGATGGATGGGTGGATGGATGGATGGATTGATGGATGGATGGTTAGGTGGATGGATGGTGGATGGATGGATGGATGGATGGATGATTTGATGGATGGATGGTTAGGTGATGGGATGGATGGATGATGGGTGGATGGATGGATGGATTGATGGATGGATGGTTAGGTGGATGGATTGGTGGATGGATGGATGGATGGATGGATGGATGGATGGATGATTTGATGGGTGGATGGATTGATGAGTGGATGGTGGGTGGATTGGTGGATGGATGGATTGGTGGATGTGTGTGTTCTACTGTACCTTGATATCGGAGCTGAAGTTGTTGATTTTGGGCGCTCCGGCCTCCTCCAGGTGATAGTTGACCCAGCGCAGCAGCAGCTCCTCAGGAGACAGTTTAACCAGATCCTCCAAACTCTCTCCATCCCTGAGCAGTGCGATCAGAGCTACACACACACACACACACACACACACACAATCATGTGACTCGACGGAGAAACATACAGGACAGTGTAGACACAGCAAACACAGAACGTTCCCTAATGTTAGTATTTGGTTTGTATTTAGTTGATTTTTTTCAGCCAATTATAATACTGTATTTTTTACAACTATAAAATGATTTAAAATAATGTCTCTGTAAAGAAAACGTTTCATGGCAAAAAAAAAAACAAATTTATGATTTTAGGAAAAATTGAGAACATCCTGGGAACCAAAAACTAACATTCCCGAAACTTCCTGGAAAAGTGTAAGTTGGACAAACATGCTGTTGCACACACCAGCTTGTGTGTGTGTGTGTGTGTGTGTGTGTGTGTGTGATGGGTAGGTTTAGTGTAAGGAGACAGAATGTACTGTTTGGACAGTATAAAACCATTACGTCTATGGAGAGTCCCCACTAAGATAGCGAACCAGGTGTGTGTGTGTGTGTGTGTGTGATTAGTGTGTACCTTCGTTCCTACTAATTTCGATGTCGGCGAACAGGCCGATTTTGATGACTTGCCACAGCAGTCCCAGCACTAAATGCTGCCTGCCCTCCTTCAGGTCCTCTGCTCCGATGTTCACCACATGGCAGCCGATAGCAGAGGCCGAGTTCAGCGCGAGGTTCAGGTTCTCCTGCACATTTAAACAAGAACACACACATTAAAATCCCATCACAACAGTGTATGATCAGAAGTGAGTGTGTGTGTGTGTGTGTGTGTGTTTGACCTGGATCGTGAAGGGTGTGAGCTTCTTCTTGTTGATGGTTCTCTCGTCGATCGTGTCCGGCACAGACAGGTTGATCATTTTACTGCAAACAGTCATATTTATCATATTTCTGAAATATTGAACTGTATATTGAAAATACGTTTTACTACAGGAAACCAAACATTCCATTTTACAAACTTTATTTGAATGATACATTTGAACGTTCTATCAACATTCCGAAACAAGTAACATTTAAAAAAGTTCTAAAAAGTACTTAAAGTCACCCTGTGATCAAAATCCAGATTTTAATCCTGTTTATGTGTGTATGTGGTGTTTTTAATCGTGTGTAAGTTGATAAGTGGACAGCATTGCTGAGTATTTCCTCCTTAAAACTGCAGTGAACCAAAGACAGTCTCAAAAACACGCTTTGGTGTTTCTGACGTCACAAACCACCTTGTGATCGTCAACCAGTGGATCTCTGAGTGAGGGAGTGAGTGGAGGCGGGGCTCATTTGCATATTAATAGAACCGCGCATACTAAATGAGGCGAGGGTGTCGAGTTACATTCAAGATATTTTAAGATATGAAGTTTTTATTCACAGGAAACGCAATGTAATGTTGGTGATCAGAGTGTGTGTGCAGGTACCAGAGTACGATGCCGTCTCCCACTGCGGTGAACAGGTCGTCGGAACTGGGATCCATGGGAAGAACGTGCTGGCAGTCCGGATCTTTCTCCAAGGCTTTATTGACCCAGTTCACAAAAGCCACTTTCTCCTCCTCTACACACACACACACACACACACACAGCATCACCATTATCAAATCAATCTAGCATGTATCGCTGTTAATAAAGTGTGTTTTTGTCATTTCTGCAGCCTAGTGTCCGTGTCGGATGTGTTTTTCCTCACCGGAGTACGAGTGCTGTGTCCCGGATTGTTCCGATGTTCCCGCCACTGAACAGATTCCCTCCTTCTTATTAATGGCTTTCCGGAAGGTCTTGGCCACTTCTGAGCTCTTCAGATCATGAACAACCTGACACACACACACACACACGTATTTAGTGCAAGTCATCAAAATCGGCCTGTTCGTCGACATTGAAATTAGTAGGAACGAACGTAGGTACACAATAATCCCACACACACTTCTTTCTTTAATTGCTAATGGACCTTTTTTACACACAGACTGAACAACATATCCACTGATTTAATAACTCTGAGTTCTGCTTTTCTAAACTATAGCGAATAAACTGATAATGTGAGAATATGTGTCTGAATTAGGTTTGGTTTGACTGGATATTATAGTACAAGTCACACTCGCTTTTGCTAAATTAATAAATGCAAATATTATTTAAGGGTCCTTTGAGTCAAAAACATTTAATTTAGCATTTTCTCCCCCCTCGTGATAGAGCGTGACCTTTGACCTGACCTTGGCGAACTCATCGAAGGTGATCTTCCCGTCCTGGTTGAGGTCCATGGTCCTGCTGAGCTCCTGGACGATCTCTCGGATACGGTATCCCGGCAGAGGAAGGTTTGCGGCTCGGAAAAGGTCGTTCAGCTCGTCTGTGCTGATGTAACCGTTACCGTCCACATCTGCAAGCAAAGGTCAAAGGTCAGTCCCACTGCCTCAGTAGCATAACAGAGAATGTACAGCATGACCGGTGCGCTCCGAATCACGAATGAATGGATTCTTTTAATGAACCACTCAAAAGTATCTTGAATCAGTGTTGTTTAAGTATTATTTATATTCTATTTTAGTATTTTTAATTAGCTTTTATGTTTATATTTTCGATTAATCGCATCCAAAATAAAAGAAATATTTAAGAAATATTTGCATGAATATATCCTGTATATATATTTATATTGAATAGAAATATAAATATTTTAAATAGAAATAACACATTTTTCTTAAATGTGTATATGCATGCGTGTTTATTTATGCAATATTTATTTATTATGCAAACACAAACTTTTATTCTGGATGCGATTCGTCACGATTAATCGTTGCCCAGCACAAAATTTTTAGTTTTCATTTTTGTTTTAGTCGTTTTAACGTTTTCTTTTGTTTATTTAGCTTTCATTTATTATTTCAGTTTTAGTTATTTTACTACTTAAACTTATTTATTTCAGTTACTTGATGACCAGTGTAGGCCAGATCACTCCAATGAACTGATTCTTTAAAACTGAAACGCTCAAAAAGACTCAAATGCTGGTTTAAACAGGTTTGAATCAGTGTTATTTAAGCATTTTTATATAGTATGATAGCCATTTGAATGAGCTTTTATTTACATTTTTTCAGTCATCATTTTAATTTGAGTTTTTACTCAGTTTTAGTAACTGTAGTACTTAAACTTATTTCTTTCAGTTAGTTGCCAAGTTTTGTCATATTAAGATTTTAAATCTTAAAGGAGTAGTTCACTTTTAAAAAAAACTTTTGTTGATAATTTCCTCACCCCCATGTCATCCAAGATGTTCATGTCTTTCTTTCTTCAGTCGAAAAGAAATTAAGGTTTTTGATGAAAACATTCCAGGATTTTTCTCCATATAATGGACTTCAATGGGGTCCAAACGGTTTAAGGTCCAAATGAGAGTTTCAGTGCAAACTGCAAACTCTTCAAAGGGCTTTAAACGATTCCAGACCATGAATAAGGGACTTATCAAGTGAAACGATCACTCATTTAATAAATAAAAACAAAAGTTGAAGTTTTTTAAGCACAAATGCTCACCTTGCTCTGTTCTGTGATGCGCGTTCGTAACTCTCCTGTTCATCAAAATAAACGAATCTTTTTTCGAGTCATTTGGTTAATTCAGCGAATGAAATGACTCGAAAAAAGATTTGTTCATTTTGAAGAACGAGTTTGATTGGTGTCGTTTAAAGCCCTTTGAACAGTTTGGACTGAAATTGTTTTTTGAACCGTTTGGACCCCATTGAAGTCCATTATATAGAGAAAATCCTGAAAAGTTTTCATCAAAAACCTTAATTTCTGTTCAACTGAAGAAAGAAAGACATGGACATCTTGGATGACATGGGGGCGAGTAAATTAGCAGCAAAATTATTTTTAAAAGTGAACTACTCCTTTAATTTCAATGAATAAAAATATTTTTTAATAGTTTTTTGGTTTTAGTTAACAATCACAACACTGGTTTAAGTCAGCCGAATAAACTGATTCTTTTCATGAATCATTCAAAAACTCTGGTTTGAAGCACTGTAATGAACTTATTATTTTCACAAATCGTTCAAAAGGTTTCAGTCCAATAAATATGAAAAAGAACTATTATTTTTGTTAACAAACTTGGGCGAATTATCTGTGGCCCTTAAAATTAGGCTATACTGCAAAGGATTATAAAGTAGCTGAGGAACCGGAAGTGTTTAGAGGAGTCAGATTTAAAAGGAACCGGAAGTGTATGGACAGCTTTTACAAAAGCTTTTGTGTGTTCACTCACCAACTTTGCTGAAGGCCTCTCTCAGCTCCTCCATGTCCTCCGCTGGGATGTGTTTTATGTCCGCCATCGTTCACTGATAGATAGATCACCTGTGAACGAGAGAGAGATTGTGTTTGTGTTTAGCAGCTGATACTTAAAACACACTCCGCTTGAACAATCAAACATCACGGATTTCAAATGTTTTCAATATGTTTTTTATGTTCCATTTTGCAAACATTATGGAAATGTTACTTTTGAATGTTGAATGAAAGAAGCAGTAACATTTAAATAATAATAGATAAATGTCTAACTAAACATTTCAGAAAAATCTAGGGGTGTAACGAGACCACCATGTCACCATATTATTTTGATAATACAAGACATATGATATAATTTAAACTGCTGTACCGATGATTAAAATGCTAATTTTGATATTAAATGAATAGTCTTGGACTTGATGCTGAAACCCAAAGCACATGACGATAGAGACACCAGAATAACAATATTCATGATTCTGAAGCTGAAAACACACAATTATTTTAGACAAATATGATTTCACTCTGACTAGATGTGTTTAAAATAATGTAAGACACTTTTTACAGGTAACATCAAACATTTGGCATTATCAGGACCCACAAATCCCCACAATGCATTATTATACATTATATTCAACATTATATATAGTAGTTTAATGTAGTACTGACACTCTGAAAACTTCACGAAAAACAAAATATATCACGATCCATGATACATATTGTTGCATTTTTGTATTGCGATTTAGAAAAAAAACATTCCGTGGCCAATGCATAAATAATGTTTTTGTGCTAACGTTTTGAGGAAATTATTTCAGATCAGAAATCGCTCATAGCTTTGAGAAGAACATTAGCTGTTTCTTTATCAGTTTGTCCTTCTAAACATGCCATCCAGAGGCTTGAGCAAGACCTTTCACACCGGAAGTGGCTGTTGCTTCGGCTTTTGAGTAACAGCATGTGGTTTGAGGAGACGACATTACAAATATAGCTTAGCAGAGCATAATTATATCACATAATGAGAAATATACATGGTTACAGTGTGTATTGCAACCTGGAGCAATAACAGTCAACTTTACAGTAGGTTTACTGTAATATATAGTGATGAAAGTGTTGAAAAGTGTTAATTCTAGGGGTGTAACAATACATTGTGTCACAATATAGCGCAATACAAACATGCAGCAATATATGTATATATATATATATATATATGTATATACTGTATATATGTATATATATATATATATATATATATATATATATGAAGAGTTCAGATGCAAAAGCCTCTAAATGCCATTTGAAATTTTCTTCTTTAATGATGATTTTTTTTTTTTTTTTTTTTTTTTTTTATTGACATTGCAAGACGTAAAATACACTTTTGGTCATATTGTACAACACATTTGTCCTTGTCCTACATCATCATTTTTTCCAAAACGAAACAGAAAATCAATAATAAAAAAAATAAAAATAAGTAAATAAATAAAATAAAAAAAAAACATGGTAGCAAGAACAAAAACAGGGGAGTGCCTCAGGTATTATGAATCAGATAAAGTCTGATCTTATTGTTTGAATAAATTTCAAGAATCCTTTCCACAACCTCTTGAATTTATCCATTTCAAGTCTACAAGTGGAGGTCAGTTTCTCCATAACATATATATCATGCATCACATCAACCCAATTTTCCTTTCTTGGCGCTTCCACCTTTAGCCATTTCCTAGTAATTCCCTTTTTTCCTGCTAGTAACATGATTTTAAACATTTTCCAATTCAAATTCTTTTTACCTTGCATATTAAGTCTTCCCAAATAAAGAGTGTCAAAAGTGAAAGGTAGATTGATTTGTAAAATCTTGTCCATGCATTGTTTAAGTTCCATCCAATAATTCGCCATCGAAGGGCAACTCCAAAAAATATGAACATGGTTTGCACTCTTTTCCCCACACCCCTTTTAATGATGATTTTTATCAAGCTTGTATATTTAAGTTCAGTAATTTCACTTAAATGGCAATGATAATTACCTATTAATTGTTATTTAAGTGAAATTACTGAACATAAATATACAAGTTTGATAAAACTCATCATTTTTGAAGAAAATTTCAAATGGCATTTAGAGGCTTTTGCATCTGAACTCTTCATATATATATGTGTGTGTAATGTCTAATGTCACCTGTAAAAGTAGCTTACATTATTTTAAATGCATCTAGTAGTCAGAGTGAAATCATATTCGTCTAAAATAATTCTATTTCCAGCTTTAGATTCATGAATATTGTTATTTTGGTGTCTCTATTGTCTGTGCTTTGGGTTTCAGCACCAAGATTATGTAATATCAAAGTTAGCATTTTAATCTACAGTAAATGTTTTGACCTTTTATCATGTCTTGGAGTATCGTGAGTTCAGTATCGTGATATATATCGAATCGTGACACCCCTAGTTATGTTCTCGAAACATTCAAAACGTCCAGTTTATCTCGTTAGAACGTTCCATTTTTCAAACATTGTTACTTTTGAGTGTTCTCTGAACATTCCGAAACACGTGTAACATTTAAAAACTGTTTGATGAACGTCCGACTCTGAACAAACATCCTATTACCTTACAGGAAGAACATTTGCTCACTTTATATCTGCAGAGGACAGCCTATACTGAGACTTCTTCCTTCAAACAAAACTATAAAACACATTTAGCTGCATGTGTGGATAATGAAGCGAGGCTCGTTTGTGATTTCAATCCAGACGGATGCTTAACATCACTGCATTTAACATGCAAATCTTGCTCTTTTTAAAGTGATGTCTGTTCAGCTCAGTGGAATAATCAGATGCTGTCACACATTTGCATCTTCATGAAGTGCTTTTATCAGCATAAATCATCACGAGGATCATGTTTAGCTGGTAACACTTTACAAGACGGTTTCATTTGTTAACATAGCTAAAAATGGACAATATTTTATTACAATCTGTGCACTAACATGAATATAAACATGTTTATTAACTAACATTAAAAAATGCTCATTGGAAGTTCATGTTACTAGATTGACTTTATTGTTGTGTTACCACTATTTGATGTGTTCTAAACACTTGAGCCATAGTTATTTCAGTGTCGCTTCAAAATGTCTGCTTTCAGCCTTCACATGTGCTCTGGTCTTCCTCTTTCACATGTACATTCTGCTTTTGTTTCAGAAATAAAGATGATATAATGGATTGTGCTGCTGCTGCACGTCCCACTCTTTGCAAAGGTGTGAATGAAACTTTAAGGCTCGCCGTTCTGAGATGTAAGATATAGATGCCGTGTAACTTCATGCACTTGTTGCACAGCTGAACCACAGCTTCCTGTTTCTCTTAAACCACCGAGCAAAGCTTCACTTCTGCTTCAGATTACATGAACACTCAAAAACCCCCAGTTTGCTTTATGGCAAACTGAAACTCTGAGAGGACGCTTAAAATCCGGAATTCAAACTTTTATACAAATTCCTGATTGTTTGTTTATTACCATTTCTGGTAATATCACATGCAATGAAAAAAAAAGCTAATTTATTAAATGAAATGGCAATGGCAAATGAGAACCTTTTGACTCTCAGATGTTTGGACTCGACTGTATTCCCCGCTAATATTCAAAAACATGTTGTTAACGTTCGCTTTAAATGATGAAAATGTCATTTCTGAATGTTCTCAAGTTTCAAATGTTTTTTTGAATTCAAACGTTATGGAATGTTACGTTCAGAGAACATTCTAAAACAAGTAACATTTAAAAAATGACACAGAAAGTTCCATAAACGTTGTGTTTTTGAAAAGAGAATTACAGACCAGAGCACGTTCTACTAATGTTACTGGATGAACGTTTGTAAGGATTCTGCATTTTATTTCTGCTGTTGCATTAATATTCCATCAAATCTATGAAATGCATCACACGTGAAGATGAAGCACAAACGCAAATGGTCGGTACACATGGTCTGATCCGGATCTGTCAGACTCACATCAGTGATGGACTTTCACACAATATAGTGATAATGTGCATGTCTTACCTGCAGTGGACTTCAGGGTGGATCTGTGTCTGGTCACTTTCAGAGGTTCTGCTGCAACTCTATTCAAATGTGAGAGGAAGGAAGTGACATACACAGAGGCCTACACGACAGTGGAAACAGGAACACACACGCTCTTATGTCTTTATAAGGTAAAACGCTTGACATCTGCACACAGTAACAAATGTGATCGACATCTGACAGCATCGGTCACTGTTCTGAGCTTTAACAATGCTAAATTCAAGAATGTCACCACAAATTTTGGGTGTACAAAGAAGCATCCTCAGGAAGAAGTCGAATCTATTTTTGACTGAGTATAACATGATTATCAGTCCTGAGTGTCATTAGTAATGTGCCATTTTTTTCTTTCTTATGTGTTTTAATTGCAATTAGGGCATGAAAAACAAGATTTGAACTTTTTTTTTTTACACATTTTGAAAAAGAGATTTGCAGAAATCCACTTGAGTTGACTATGCATTTGGTTCTAGAGATTAAACATAATACAGGGATACAACAAAGCAATACTGTGTACTTAATAAACAAATGAATATAATTATATCAAATAATGCAAACACTAGAAAACATATGTAAAAAAAATATTAGTGCAAATCCAATTGAGTTTGTTCCTGTTCCACCAGCAGACGGAGAACTTCATACAAATTGAAAATACAATGGAAGTCAATGGGGTCCATCGACTGTTTGATTACTGACATTCTTCAAAATATCTTATGTTGGTTTCGGCAGGGGGAAAATTTCAATTCATACAAGTTTGTACAACTTGAGAGGGTGAGTGAGTAAATAATGACAGAATTCTCATTTTTGGGAGAGCTATCCCTTTAATAACAAATGAAGATTTTAACAGGCCGATAAATATTTGCAATACTTATTGTTTAAGGGTTAAAAGCTCTCTGTTATGATTTGATTTACATTTTAAACTGGTTGACTTATGTAGGCTATGGATGATGCGCTCTGCTAATGTCTGTTTCCTGAAAAAAAAAAAAAAAATCTGGAAAAAAAAAGGTTAGCAACATTTTTTTTTTGTTAGCTGGGAATATTTACTCACACCCAAACACTAGTCAAACAAACTAAAGTTATGATGTAAGGCGCTTGAAAACAGCATATGACGTCACACACGAAAAAAATGTCACAAGTGCCTTGTGAGCTGCGAGATTAGGCTTGTTTGAGATGAGCAAATTCTGCGCAGAATCGATCACCGGTGATCAGCGCGAGATGCATGCCGGTTAGAAATGTGTCCGAGAACGGTCCGCCTGGCTCTGATGTCATGCCGACGTATGTCAAAAAACTCTCGCGAGCGCAAGGCGGAAGGGTCGGATTCTGCAGTCGCGCGCAGTTGCTCTCCACCGACTGCGCTGATCAAAAGCATGATGGGAAACGACTTGCTGACGACACAGCTTAATGCTCATTGGTTTAAACAACATGATGAAGGTAAATTCCATATTCATTAAGCTAAATTCTCCAAATCAAGGCCATGTTTTTTTTTTTTTTTTTTTTTTAATTGAAACTGATAGGCTATATATTGTGAATCTCTTAAACGGGTTAAAAATAAGAAAGCTATAGTCAGTAACTCAAATATACTAGGCCTACTCTAAAATGTTCAAGTGAAAAATAGCTCTCATTTTATAGATGACGAAGTTTGTAAGTCTGTCTATTTAAGCTAAGCTTATTTTGATTTATTTATTTATTTTATTATTAATTTTATTCTGATGTTTATTTATTTGTCGATGTATAATAGGCCTATTTGTTTCGCGAATTGGTGCTTGTAGGTAGGCTATGTTTGTAACTTGCATTCTAATAAAAAAGTAAAATAAATAAAAATAAAAGAACAACAGATGAATTGTTCTCTTTTAAAATGTTTGATTTTAAAACTGATATCATGTTTTATGTGTATACATATATGGGTGAATAAACTCTCTGACAGTGCCATATGGGTTATATTTCATTTTTGTTAAAACAATAAACACGTCTGTATTAAAGAAAGAAAAAAAAGATTGATAAACACATATTTAACAAGTACTTTGGGTGTCTTGTTCATTATATTTATTTTTATATAAAAGCAACAGAACTTAAATCACATCCAGTTTATTAGCAACACGTGCACGAGCGTGAATCCCGTTAATCCCGCGATATCCGCCTTTGATCTCACAGGTGTCTGATTCACTGCGAGAACCGAGATCTGTCCGGCTTTATTGCGCTTTTTTCACTCCTCCCCTCACTGCAGCCGCCTACTCTCGACTACATTGCAGGCGAGGCGAGGCGCATCTCAAACAAGCCTATTGACAGGTGGTTGCTAGGGCGGTTGCTAGAGACTCAGATCCTCAGCTGAACTCTGGTGAGTTTTCAGACGCGGGTTATTGCTGTTTTCATGGTTTGAAGTTTGCAGAAATATGTGAATTACGGAGGAAATGAAACCGGTTTATATCGCTTATTTGATTCGATCGTTAGAAAATGTATTAAACGCGATCATTGAACGATCATAAACGAACGGTGTCTACGGTTTCGATTTATAGTGTGTCATTTGTAGTTTGATTCTCATATAACAATATTTATAATGAATAAATAGCATAAAGCTATGAGGTTATTTTCATGACGATTGATTTCTCTTTATTTGTTGCTCTGTATTTAACCCATAGGCTACTGCTGCAAAATAGTATTAATAACCCTGAAAAGGAATGCTTTTAGGATGTTTCTTCCTGTTTATTTTATTTATTTATTTTTTTTGCGGTGAAATGTGTCTCTTGCAGACTTAAAATCTCTATCGATGTTCTCATAAACCCTGATCAGAAAGAATCAATGTCATCTGAACACATGAAGCTGCTGAGAAGACCCCTGCCTCCTATAAAGACAGCACACTACAGCTCTGCGCCTGCGCACACGACTGCAGGTGACGACTCATACACGCCGCATCATGTGACCTTTTTTTTTTTTTTTTTATTGACAAGAAGTAACATACAAAACTCTCGCAGGGGATAGAATGCACAAAAGTATTAACCAAGCAGAAAACAACAATAGAGAAAAAAATAAATAAATAAAATAAAATCATGTGACTTTTCCCGCCAACAGGGAATGTTTTTAAATGTTACGGCTTGTTTTGGAATGTTCAAAATGAACGGTTCCATGACGTTTTCAAAATGATAAAACAGAATGTTGTCCCACATATGACATTGATTGTTTACAAAAAGTAAAACTAACCTTCTTTATAAACTATTAATGCTGTGTGTTAAATTATTGATTTATTTGATTTATGCATTAATGTTTTTGTTCTTTATTACGTTAATAAATTATGAGATGTTTAATTAATGAGTAGTGTTTAAAAGCATCCCAGAATGCACCAGATGGGTGAGCAGAGCTATTATATACAATTAAAAATGTATTTAGGTCTAAATTAAAACTGTATTTGGATTTCACAGTTTTAATATAAACTAAATAAACTTAATGTGATGCATATTTGTAATTCATGCATACATTTATGTAACAGTCCTAAATATGTTTTATGCATTGTTACAAAGCTTGGTTTATGTAAAACTGTAATTCAAATGGATGCAAATTTAAATACATAAATCTTACATTTATGCCTAAATAAGTCAGATAAGAAGCTATTATTATTCCATCTCTATCATTTTTTTTAGCACTGTACTATTATTATAACAATATGAATATGATGATGTCATCTCTGTGTTTTCAGACCATGAACGGAGCGAGTGTGTTTGCAGTACGCAGACGAAACTTGAGGATTCTGCTTGTGTTTCCCGGGTCACATTACCCAGAATCCTCCGCGCTTTCCCCCATCAGCCTCAGCTCACACCTGTGGATCGCCGACCTCTTGACCTCTTCTGCCTCAATGACTTCTTGCAGGTCGGCTGGTCGGTGTGTGTGTGTGTGAGAGCGGGTCGCTGACCTCATGAGTCATGACCTCTTCTCTCTCTGACTCCTGCAGGTGTGCCGGTTGAGTCGCGGGTCTCGGGACGATCTGAGGAAGACGGTTCTGTCCCGCTGTAACTATGAGAAGCTTCTGCGTTTGTTCCTGTCGGAGCTGCACAGAGGCTGGCAGGGGGAAACAGCCAATCAGACGCTGAGCTGTGAGAGTTTGACCCCGCCCACACGCAGGATCCCTCAGAGACAGATCATATGCGGTAATACACACATCGCAACACCATACTGGACTTTCAGTGGTGATAGATGTGTGTGTGTGTGTGTGTGTGTGTGTGTGTGTGTGTGTGTGTAGGGCCCATTTTCAGCCCAGGATTTTAATGCCCAAAACTACCCCATTTGTTTTTAACTCATGTTTCATAAACTCCCCAAACCTGTGTGTGTGTGTTCAGAGTTAGCAGCAATGGTTCAGTTGGAAGCACGAGCTCGAAACTCTTTCAGGAGTAAATCTGGAGCGTCTGAAGATCAATCAGTGGATCGGCTGCGGACTGAACACACACTTCATGAGCCGTACACAGGCAAGAACACACTCTTCAGAGTCACGTGATCCTGCAGAGCTCGTTCTGATATGCTGAGTTTGTCCTCTGTCCACAGCGCGTGTGGTCGTCCTGAACGCGGCGATCAGCAAACACTTCCAGGGCAGCCGCCGCTCTCGCTCCCCGTTCCGCTGCGCGGGGGACTGTGATGTCATCAGTGTGTCTGAGCTCAGCGTCCTGGACTGCATCACGCGCGGAGGAACCAGCCTCAGCTTCAAGGTGTGTGAGTGAGTGAGCGAGCGAGTGAGTGTGAGTGAGTGTGTAAGTGAGCGAGCGAGTGAGTGTGAGTGAGTGTGTAAGTGAGCGAGCGAGTGAGTGTGTGAGTGAGTGTGTAAGTGAGCGAGCGAGTGAGTGTGTGTGTGTGAGTGAGTGTGTAAGTGAGCGAGCGAGTGAGTGTGTGAGTGAGTGTGTAAGTGAGCGAGTGAGTGTGTGAGTGAGCGAGTGAGTGAGTGAGCGAGTGAGTGAGTGTGCGAGTGAGTGAGTGTGCGAGTGAGCGAGTGAGTGAGTGAGCGAGCGAGTGAGTGAGTGTGAGTGAGTGTGTAAGTGAGCGAGTGAGTGAGTGTGCGAGTGAGCGAGTGAGTGAGTGAGCGAGCGAGTGAGTGAGTGTGAGTGAGTGTGTAAGTGA